GGGCTCGGCCTGCCACTGGGTTCGCCAGAACTGCGGCGGGCACGCACGGGGTTTGGGGCAGGCAGGAAGCGTACAGGGGCTTCAGGGGATCCAGAAGCGGCACAGAAGGCGGGACAGGACTGGTCACACCCCCTGTGCTCGGGCAGAACAACTTCGAGGAGCCAGTGGCACTGCAGGAGATGGACACAAGCAACGGGGTCCTACTGCCCTTCTACGATCCCGACTCCAGCATCGTCTACCTGTGCGGCAAGGTGCCCACGGCCGGGCGGGGAGAGCGGGGCTGGGCGGAGGTGCCGAGGGCCCTTTCCGGGGGGGGCGCGTCTCTGAACCAGCTGGCTTTGCAGGGCGACAGCAGCATTCGGTACTTCGAGATCACCGACGAACCACCCTTCGTGCACTACCTGAACACGTTCAGCAGCAAGGAGCCCCAGAGGGGCATGGGTTTTATGCCCAAGCGGGGACTGGATGTCAGCAAATGCGAGATCGCCCGGTCAGCAGCCCCGCCCTTCCCGCATGCCCGCCTCTGCCCTCGCTTCCCAAGGGNGGGGGGCTTCCCCAATAAGCCTACCCTCTGCAAAAGGTGGGGTGGAGGGAATCAAGCTTGTTTCCACTGCCAGCCCCGGCGCTAACTAGCCTGACATTCTCTGAGCGTGTCTGCTCATCTGTAAAATGATGTTTTACCAGCTGGGCCAACAATGTGTTTCAAATGCGCTGCCTGGTGGGCGCGCGCGGCCAGTGTTGGCCTCTAACCCCTTCCTCGGTCCCAGGCAGAAGTTAGCGGGGTGGGAGCCTGCGGGGGTGCTGAACCCCACTCCCTTACAGGTTCTACAAGTTGCACGAAAGAAAGTGTGAACCCATCATCATGACTGTGCCCCGCAAGGTGAGGGGCCAGGAGAGGGGGTGGGTGGGCAGGGAGCGGGCAGGCCCGGCCCCTCGCTAACACCCGCCCTCCCGTTCCCCTGCCCTCGCAGTCAGACTTGTTCCAGGACGACCTCTACCCAGACACGCCGGGGCCCGAGCCGGCCCTAGAAGCGGACGAATGGCTGTCGGGCCAGGACGCCGAACCCGTGCTCATCTCACTGAGGGATGGTTACGTTCCCCCCAAGCACCGCGAGCTCCGAGTCACCAAGCGCAACATCCTG